CTTAGTTGAGTATTATTTTTTGTGTACTACTTTTTTATTAATAGTAGGTTATGAAATAAACTACATTTTAAAATGCTTCTTTATAGGACTTTAAAAGTACAAAATAGCTTTGTTTTACAAAGGATTTTGATTAGGTTAAAAGAGCTTTAAGCCAATTCATGTTATCATGTTTTTAAGAAGAAAAAAAGGACATTAAGATATGACTCTGAATCTTAGATTTGACTCGAAGATTGAAGATTCATATTTTGGTTTTCAGACATTGGATTGAGATTTTTATTTATTTTTTCAATCAAACCATGGTATAGGCTATTTTTCTTTTCTTTGTTTTGTTTAACAGAACTGTTATTAAAATTAGAGTTAAAATCAAAAGGTTGGGGGTGGGGGGTGCCATGGTTCATGACTATGGGAAGATTTCAAGTCATAAAAAGAGATTTGAGACCTTCTTAATAAAATGCAGCCATGATACCAACACACATACTGGTTTTCACAAGTAATTGTGTCATTTTAGTTCCTAGAGAAATCCTCAAAGCTAAACCAAGTCAAGCCATGTTAGAGTATTATATATATTGTAGATTAAAAATCATAAAAAATATATGATTGTTTCAATAATTTTGTTCCACTCACTGTAATAAACTTTCAAAAAACATAACCACTTTCTTAAAATAAATCAGATACACACCTAGGTACCCAAACAAGAAAGTATAAGACAAGACACAGATAAATGCAAACACAGACTGTACCTGCAGCTACCAACACAGTGAGCAATTTTCTGTGTATACCTACAGGGACAGTCTTGTTCACACTCAGCCTTTGTCTGAGTAGTTCAATTTTTTGTATTTTTATAATTATGTATCCCATTTCTGAACTTTCGACTAGATAAAATTTAACAGAATATCTAAGTTTAAAAATATAGTGATCATTTTTACTATTTTTGATCAATTGTAAGTAAACTAGCTGCATTTTGAAAATCCATGTGTTGTTTTGTTATAAGTTTAAACATAGAAATAGGCGCCAGAAATCTGTGGTAGATTTAGTAAAATAATGTTCTTGCTAATGCCAACAATGGCAGATTCTGATTTAGCTTTTCTAATCTATATGATGTGTAATGTTTAGACTGTAAAACTTAAGGAAAAGTGATATTAGAGTTGTCTTTTTCAGTTTGTAGCATCACATATGTGTTATTATTTGGTTACAGCCACTACCATTACCAAAACACCAAAGTATAGCTTAAGTAAATGTGTTCTTAAAAAGCTAAGTCAATATGTTCTTTGTCATAAGAGAATTCTATAGTTTTGAGCACTAAACTTGACCACTTTAAAAGGAAATCTATATGTGGTCTGAGAATCTCCCTCTGAATATTTAATTATCTGCCAATTAATGCCTGTTCATTCTTTATCTGGATCCTCATCAAAAGTATATGCTATTTTTGTGTTTTTAGCGCCTATGTCTGACAAAGCTATGACTAAACTGTCAAAACTATGACAAAACTCTCATGACTAAATGAGGATAAATTGGCTGATTGCAGACCTCAGAAGGCAGCTGATGACTGAACAGAGGTGAGGCAGGCTCTGAGGAGCCTCTGAGCTGCCCTCTGCATGAAGGCTTACAGACTGGAAGCAGGCTTTTAGAGGAAGATCCTGGCAGGAAAAACTTATTTGAAGCATTAAAGAGTCCAGATGTGACCAGGGTCAGAAGTCAAAGAGAATCCAGTCAGGGAAGGCTATGCCCAAGACCAAAGAAACCAGAGTAGGCAAGCGGTGGACACTGACACTGAACAGAAGAACCGGTGAGGGCAGGGTGAGTACAGGAATACAGGAAGGCTGGTAGTACACACTGACACAAGAGTGACTTATATGGTCAAGTAGGACTGAAATATGTGAGTACAGTATAAATAGTATAAATAGGTAGAGAAATAGTTTGGAGGAATGAGGTTGATTGGTGCATCTGCTTAGTCTGGCAGAGCAGAGGCAAGCAGCCAACCAGCCCTAAAACATTCAATCACAAAGGATTTCCAACATTCCTGTAAAATAACTACGGAGATTCCACTCGCCAATCTATGATCTAATACTTTGATCATCAGGGGATTTTTCTGTGCATCTCTAATAAAACATGAAAGCAAAATTTCCTCTGCAAAACCTTTTGAAAATTATCATTGCACACATAAAAAAAGAAAAACTCAACCTCAATGAGTAATACAGATCAAAACTATCAAGGTGCATCATGGAACCTATATAAATGACGACAGTACTTAAAAGCTTAGGTCTCCAATATTACATTGTTAAAAAATATAAAGAAGAGACTAAAAATAGAAAACATTTCGGGAGACAATCACTGAGATCTAAAGTATGTATGGAAAAGTATGAGTTTGAATTTTGTTCACATCATGCAGCGTTCCAGAATTAACTTCTCACAATGATTGGTAACAGAGTAAGTTGTTTCCAAATCTGTGTTTTGTAGGTTATTTAGGGGCTGTGTATAAATATCATGACATTAATAGGTAGAGCTGAGTTTTTTTTTGTTAGTTTTTAAATAGCAACCGTATCTTCTCTTAAACAATAGAGAGCAGATGTAAAAAAAATTCAAACTGTACAAATATCAAGAACAGATCTAACTTTAAGTATTTAAATGTCAACAAGTCTAGTCTGAACTTTGTGTTTTAAATTCTTTATTAAAATGTATTTAATGGAAAAGACACATAAAAACCTACACAGTCCCTTGATTCATCTTGTTTCACATAGATTTCTCTTCTGTTCATACACAGCTGTGTCAGCTCTGTCTGCAAACTCTAGTACTTC